CAGCGCCGCCCCAGCCCGGCTCCCCTGGTCGCGGCGCCAGGACACGCGCGGGCTTGGAGCAGGCGGAGCGCGGGGCGGCTCTTGCTAAGTGGCTGCGGGGGGTTTTTTCTGCTCAGGGTTGGTGAAGTGGCCACGCTGGGAGCAGCCTTCGCAGGGACAGTGGGATACCCGCCCCTGACACCGATGTAGCGCGCCTCAGACTACAAGTGTGCATGTGTGAACAGGAGGAGAAGCAAGGGCCCCCCGTTATTTTTAGCTTTGCAACATGTTTGCCCATAGCCGGAGCTGTGTTAGCGGTAACGCCCCCCTCCCCATCCGGACAGGCCGGGACAGAGAGTCTCAACACAGGTAAAGTTTGGCGAGGTTGTGACCTGACAACGGGCTCTTACAATGGCGAGGAGCAGGACCCTTAATAGGTGATGCTGGGACAAGTGCCTGTGATTCTTGCAGTTATGCACCGCAGGTTTTTAAATTAAGCGTGGGATTTTGGCCTCAATACAAGCATCATTTCACGTGTGCAAAGAAGTTTCAAACTGTCTATTGTTTAGCAATTAATTTCCCCTACACTTCAATGAGGGGGGAAAAAAGCATAGAGTGAAATTAGAAAGCAGGTATTTTAGGTAGAATACACAGCTCTCACCCCGACAGTTAATGGCAGAGCTGCAGAATCTTCCACAGACATCACCTGCCCCGAATGCCCACTCAAGTACTGGAATGAGATGTACATAAAAATACAGTTTCATTTTAAGTATGCAGATTACAAATCTCTGCTTCCAGGTTTTCTTCTTCTTGCCTCCTGTGATTTCATCATTTCATTAACTCTCTGACTACCACAAAAAAACCCATCTTTGTTATCCTGGCAAGGTTCTTTGGGTAGATGTGATATCTTTTATTAGACCAACTGAGTAGTTGGGAAAAAGTTCTTTGCAAGCTTTTAGACGCAATCACCCTTCTTCAGGCACAGGGAGTCTCTGCTCTTCTGAGGCTCCAAGGAATGAAAGAAGCTAAAAAGTGTGACAGGATGTCACTGAGAATGTAAATGGATCGAAATTAGGAAAACAAAATAGATTTTCAAGGCAGAAAAGAGGCTGTCTGTGAAACAGTAAATAGCTGGAAATTAGGAAGACAAAAGGCAGAAAAGGAGGGGAGGGGAGCAGAGGAAGAGGGGAAAGAAAAAGTGTAAGAGGTCAGGTCTGGCAGGTACCTGGTGAATCAGATGTCAGGCAGGTTGTAATGTGTCATAAATTCAATGTCCATCTTGTATCCATGATTTTTTGTATGCAGTAGATTTATTAAGTGAAGTTTGTAGGCTTGTCTATGAAAGGTGTTTTGTAAGTTCCCTTTGAGGTTTAGAACTGAGAGATCAGAGAGGGAGTGATTGTCTTGTGAGAAATGGGCCCTACAGGTAGTTGGGTATTCTTGTCTGTGAGAGATTTGCAGTGTGTATTCATTGTTTGTTTTCTCCTACATATTTTCCATCAGGGTATTTGGTGCACTGGATGAAATATATTACATTTCTGGAGGTGCAGGTGTAAGATTCAGGAATGGTGATGGTTCTGTTGTGAGGTGTGGTTATTGTGGGGGTGATGGAGATGTGCTGGCAGGTTTTGCATTTCTTGTCCTGGCATAGTCTGGATCCACTCTAGAAAATTACCTACTCCTAGCACAAGATTCAGCCTCATAGTGGTAGCAAACGAGAAGGCACTAGTTCACACAAGGCATTGGAAGCCACCTGCATGTTTGCCACTATCAAGCAGACCTCCTTTGCACAAGTTCAAACAATATGGAACTTAAAATACAGACAAACATTCAGAGCTGCTTACAGCAACATAGCTAGGGTAGCGGTAGGACAAGCGGGGCACTAGACACAGACACCGATTTAGAAGGGACACCAACAGCATCATGCATCACTCTGTCCCTCGACCACCCCACATACACTCTCCAACATCTCTGCCCAGGGTGCCAAAGTTATATCTCTGCAAGCACTTCTATCATTGTTGCCGCTATAAATTACATTGCTCAAGGATAGACATTATATAAATAAGTGAAATCTTCCAATGCAGACAAAAACTGAATGTTCAAAGTATAGATCAAGCAGCAAAAAAAATCACATAGTATTAACAATATTATTAAAATAATATTTCTATAATGATCTGTTTTTACTTAATCTTTACATTGAACATGAAGGTGTCATGGGTTACCTTAATACTTTATTTGGTAAATCTACTTTGTAGCTGCATGATTAAAAAAACAAAAACAAAGTATACCTATTTTATGTTGTTATTGTCAGAAACACTTTGCAAGTCAGTTGTTAAAGGGATGCTATTAGTTTTTCAGGAAAGCATAATCAATCTTTTAGGAACATCCCTAGCCAGAGAAATAAGGAGTCTGTGTAAAATAATAAAATACCATACATCAATTCAGAGAACCTTTATATCAGTCATGAAATGACTGAAAGTTATGCAGGCAGGTATTTTCATTCCCCTGTTTTATGCTGCAGAAGTTTTGATAAAGTATTTTTGACATTTTGTCTAGTTTCGTTGAGCTTTTTTATAAGACGACAGGTATTTGTTACAATTAAAAGAACCTCTGTCTCTTTATTTAGATAAAGTTATAGTATGTGATGGGCAAAGTACCTCTCAAAATCCTTTTAGATAAACTTTTATCTAAAAAACAACTGTCTTCTTATAGGGACTAGGGGGCAAGGGTGGAGACAGGATGGCTAAGGTAACTGGGTTTGCTTACCGACATCCTAGAAACATATGGTTACTTATACTAATTGTGGGTTTTGAAGATACATTATCTACACAGACCCCACTTACATGTCTCAAAAAGAAGTTTCAATTCTTTTTAGACTTGGGGAACTGCTTGGCTCCCCCCCACCTCCAGCAGCTCCTCCTCCAGTCTCTGCTGCAGTGCTCTGGGCAGCAGGTGGGGAGAGGAAGCGGCACTGAGTGGATGGGAAACGGTGGCAGGTGGAGAGTGAAGCTGCAGCCAGGGGCTCCTGCCCCAGCCTGCAGGGATCCAGCTCCAGAAATCACAACACCACTGCTGCCCCGCTGCTGCTGGGTCCTGGCTCTGGCTGGGCTGCAGCCTCACACCCTGCCATCAGTGCACAAATTGTGGGGGGGGCAAGGGGAGCACATGCCCCTGCCCCCACCTCCCCTCCAGTGCATTGCCAATGGTACAGGTTAGCAGACAATTAGGCATTAGGATCACCATCTCTGGCACAACTGCTGTCACCTGTGGCATCTTTAACCTCCCTTGACCCAGGGTCCATATTCTCATTGGGATACATTTCAGCTGCAGGAACCAGTTACAGTCCACCATTTGGTTCCTTCTTCCTATGCAGG